GGGGTGGGGGGGACTGATTGGGCATCCTAAACCGAAGTCTGGAGGCCCCAACACAGCGTGGGCCCTTAGCATCATCCTAACTTTCCCTGTCTCAGTGGCACCCATGATTGGAAATAACTGTGCGGAAAAGACACGATATGTAAATGGCCCCTAGTCGCCGTCATTTGAAATCTCCAGTTGATCGTTTTCTCACACAGCCATGGTGGATTCACCTGATTTGCTGACAAATGGGTTGCGGATCCATGGCTTTACTGTTCGTAGTTCCTTCACTGGGCCTTTTCCCCTTGACAAAGAAACGTTACAAAGACATCTGTTTCTTATTTATTTTGATAGATTGTTAATAGATAATTTTGGAGCTCAAATGACCGAAATGTAAGCGAGAGAATACAGTCATTTTTCAAAATAAAAGACTTTCAAAATGGAAATAATTTATTTTTGATTCTGCGGCCGGGTACTAATTGATCCACAGTCATCTACCGGTCAGCAGCCCAGAGGTTGAGGACCACTGCACTAGAGGTCACTGTCTGCATTTCTTCATTCATTCAAACAGTTGTTGATAGCAATTGGGATCACTATGACCTTGCAGAAACCGAAAATGTTGGAAAATCTCCATCACAAATGTACAGACTGACAGTTTATTTTAGAGATGCACACACACTGTCAAGTGCAGTGATATAAACAGGGCAGCTGATATGTTGCTTGTCAATCAATGTTGTATAAATCCCTTACCCATAAATAAGGACGTTCTATTCATGTATTCCTACTGAGATGTAGGTGACTTTTTATCAGTATAACAGTAATATAAAATTAAATCATGATCATTAGTGATTCATAAAATTCAAGACAATGGCTACGGGCACTTTAAGAATAAAGAAAAACACAGGACAAACAAAATTAACTTTGGTAGCTTCTTATGATAAACTAAGCTCTTATAAAGTGAAACTATCAGTCTGTGCATATAAAATATACTAATTCACTGCCTGTAAAACAAAGTCAGTGGCTTCAGCTAAAAATATGGGTGAATTAAGATTTAGCATTTAAAATTTTTTTTTTTAGAAAATCAATACATTAAATGGTTAAAAGTTTATACTGTAGGCTGTTAAATGCACCACAGCCTGCAACGGTGCAATAAAAATACCCCAAATCACAGTCAGACTCAGACTTTGTATTTTGAATATTTTATTAATGTGTAGAAAATGTATTAAAAAAGGAACTATACAGCACATTTTAAGTTAAACTAGAGCTAGTTCGATCTGTTACAATAATATCCAAGGTTATCTCACAATGTGGTTAGCAAGTTAAGGAGAAATGTCTCAGAGACCATTCTTTAGCACACACGACCTGCTTCATTAGTGTTCATGCTAAACACATCTTCACCTAAAAGTACAAAATGTGGGGCAATTGTTTTTTTTTTTACAATATCCTAATGTTTCAAATTAAATAAATGCACATGAGAGTGGTAAAAATGACCTTTTTTGCCTCCGTAACACGCAGTCTTTCGCATGTTGTGTGTATCGTGTTTTTAAGAGTGTTAATGTTGAGCCATAAGTGGTTTGGCGGATGAAAGGCATGTCAGAATGGAGGGGACTAAAGTATCCTCACCATATGCTGAGTTAATGAATAATGAAGGGAAATCTGGCCCGGTCCTCTCTGTTGAGATCCGTCTCAAGTCAGTTTACACAACACTGAAGTTTCTATTCCTTCATTCTGAACCCACAAACAATTAACTTGCTGAAAGAAATGGTTAGAACAACACAAGGAACACATATTTCTACCCATACAGTATTGTCCACAGAACAGTAACTGGAGAAAACGATGCCTTCTGGTGCACTCAAAAGGTAAGACTTTTTTTTCAGTGTTAAATGCAATTACATTGAACTGATTAAGAATTTACTTGGTTTCTGGTTCCCATCCCAGCTGTTGCTTAACTCTCTAATCTTACTTCTCAAAAAAAAAAAGCAGCAAAGGAAAATGGTAGAAACTCTTTGAAGACATCACAGTGCATCTCTCAGACGAGGCTCATTAGGAGATTTGTGCCTATGAGAAACAGTTGTTATTAGAAAAGAAGCACAACAGGGAACCGAGGAATATTTATCTAAGAATCTGGAACTGTATTCACAAAACATATTAAGGCTAAAAGTAGCTCTTAACTTGCTGATTTAGGAGAAAAAATAAATAAATTAAAATAATGGTCAAAATCAGCAAAATTTTTGCTCTTAAGAGTATTTCACAAATTATGTTAGGGCTAAAACTAGCCCCTGATCACTAAGTCACAAAGGCCCCGTTTGCACTGTCAGTTCCTGATGCTCAATTTCGATTTGTTATATCAGATTGTTTTTGTCAGTCAGTTTACACGTTCTTTTAATTGTGACCCATATTTAATTCATATGTTTACACTTGCCATACAATTTACAACATCAAGCATACATAAAGGCAGGTTCTAGCATCAGCGCCACACAAGCCATAATGGAAGAAGATGTCTTGCTTTTAGCTCTGCGAAATATGTGAAGTTCGCCCAACTTTAAAATGATTTTGAGGTGGAGGCGGAGAAAAAGGGCATCTCAGCTTGCGCCTATGATTTATATATAGTGTCCTCTGCCATTCAGAGGAATTTGTGGGAACGAGAGAGATCTCAGGTCTGCTGGAAGCAAATTGTAATGACTGACCACTTTCCTCCTCCATGTTTTCTCTGTTGTTGTTGTTTACAGTGTCGGCGTCCCCACACACGCTCTTCTTTCTATGTCATTAAACAGCGGAAAAGTACCACATTGTTGCAAGATTAATGACATACAAAAAGGAATGCCTCAATAAATCTGATCTGCCTGTTTACATGATAGTCGCACTGTCACATATCCGATTTATATCCACATACGAAGGAGGTTTGAAACCAATCTCTGAATATCCGAATGCATGTGGTTTTTCTTTGTGTTTACTCAGTCATAGAGCAGATCCGATCTGTGTCACATATGAGCAAAAAATCGGAATTGGGTCACATTTAACTGGCAGTGTAAATGGGTCCTAAGACCAAACCAAAACTTTTAAAAAACATTTTATTATAATACGTTTTTGCAACAGATCGCTTTAATCATGAGTTATTCCAGTATGGTAAAAAATAAGTTTTGTACGTTTAAAAATTAATTCAAAACAAAAAATGGCTAAAACATTTAAACAAATGCAGTTTATGTTCTGTTAAAGTCTGCGCGCTGATGAAATTCCAGTGTGTGTTAGTAATTCAAACTGAATCAGAATATTAAGTAAGGGGCGGGGCTTTCTTTTTGCATATCATTCCCACATAGCAAAGTAATGCTAAGAAGGGCGTGGTTAAGAGCATTGTGGGTGAAGACGTCAAACTGACAACAGCTACGACCTCAACCCTGCCCTGACTTATAGATTAAGACTTCTCTCTAATTCTTAGTAAATGTTTGCCTCAACAGTTTAGTGAGGTTTTAAGAGAAAACTTTTAACTCAAATTATTTATTTAGGAGAACTCTTAAGCTGTGTTCACACCAAACACAGATTAAGTATAAAATGTGAGTGATTTACATGTTAAGTCAATGCAAAGACACTAATAAACATTTGCGCGAATGATGTATTTCGTGAGAATGAAGCGCCACGAGTTGAGCGTTTTGCACGTTTGAGTCGCTCGAGTTGAAAAATCTGAACTTCAGTGGACATTCATACCACAATAACCAATCAGGAACTTTCTCTTGTAGGGGCGTGATTAGGACATAACGCCTGTTGTTGGTGTCCCGAGGGAAAATCCTCTTGCCGACACCAAACAACAGTTCATCGAAGCACCGTTGGGAGCACATCGGGAGCACCGCTGAAAGCTTTCATCATCCATCATCCATCATCCTGATATAGTCTCTAGAGGTGTTTATAAACTGGGTGAACCTCTGAATGGACCAAGAGGACTTGGCGACACGGCGCCAAACAAATCGACGCTGTTAATCAGCCTTCCTAAAGCACATAAACACAACTGTTCTCTCAATAAAATCCATGTTACCCATTTAGCAATGAAGCTAATGTCATCGGGCAAAAAGAAGCCCCACTCATGACGCGAATCAGCGTCTATTATAAAGTGTCTAGTGTGAACACAGCATTAGGGAAAGGATTTTTTTTTGTTTTGTGAATACAGTGTTTAAATCCAACTGTTCAAATTTGACATAAGTTAGACTTAACTTACTTTAATTATTTCTGTGATGACTACAGCATTTAGTAATATTGACATATTGTTAAAATTTTTCATAAGCACTTTTTTTTGCCTTAAAGTAATAGGTCACCCAATATTGAAAATCTGTTTTTAATTTACTGACTCACAGGCCATCTAAGATGTAGGTGACTTTTTATGAATCACTAAGAAACTGCATGTTTGTTTGATTTTGCTTTATTGAGGTTAAACGGAAGAAAAGTCACCAACATTTTGGATGGCCAGAAAGAAATGAACAGTAAATGTACATTTCTGGATGAACATTTCCTTAGATCATAGGTTTTAAACTAAATTCCTGGAGGGCCGCAATTCTGCACAGTTTTGCTCCAATCCTAATCTAACACATCTGATCTAAATAATCGAGGTGTTCAAAAAAGTTTTGAGCACTTTGATTAGTTGCATCAGCTCTGTTAGATTAGGGTTGGGGCAAAACAGTGCATAGCTGCGGCCCTCTAGGTATTGAGTTTGAGACCAATGCCTTAGATGTTTCAAATACTTTGGTAACACTTAATTTAGGTCACAAGTCATGTTATTACTACAGGCATTTTACCTGCCTATTATTAAGATATTAATTGTTTATTAGTAGTTATAATGTATGAACTTCTGATCCTTCCCAAAACCTAAACCCAACTTCTACCTTATTAACTATTAATAAACAGCTATTAAGAAGTTCATTAAGCTAGCAGTGTTAGTTAATGGTTTGGTAACTGTGTAAATTGTGACCTAAACTAAAAAGTGTTACCGATATTTTAAATGAATTTCAGCATTTTAGTAATGTTAATACAAAAAATAAATAAACAAGTTTAATAACTGACAGTAGTTTTAGTATTTTTTTCACAAAAGAATACACAGTAAACAAAGCCAGGAGTTAATTAGGTATTTAACCCTCTCTAAACAGAGTAATTCACTAGTAGAAAAACAATTATCTAGCTGAGGTAAGAGTTACGTTTCATTCAGAAAAGGTCTAGAAAAATATGACATAGCCGCACTCCCTAACAAACCTTTCCATCACTGTACAAAACACAATGGGGCCTTGTTAGACTACACAATGAAATAATATATTCTTGTCAGGAAGAAAAAAGTTAAAGAAGAAAGACTATGTTCTAAGTTGCACTAAGAGAGTTGCATTGCTTTTATGACCTATTGTGAATTGGCAAGTCCTGAATGCTCAAGCCTGACTGCCTTATCAGCAGGTGTCTGACAAACTCCACTTTAGATCAACTCTGTATGAAAGGAACTAAACACCTATGAAAAGAACCTTTCAGATGGTCTTCACTCTGCAAGCATTACTGAAGTGGCAAAAAACAATTCTCCTGCACTCAACTATGAATTGCTATTAACATAAAAGATTTACTAAGACACAGATGGACGGCATTATTCCTTCAAGTCTACAGGAACAAAAATCTCTGATTCACTCAAAAGCATTGAGTGCGAGACAGAACTACTGTACGTAAAAGTCTTCTTCATATGTACATATCAGTGCGTTCCTAAGCATTCTCTTATGTTTCCAGTACAGACATTAACTAATAACAGAATTCCTTCGTGTTTTTGAAAAGTTTCACTAGTTAAAGAGTTTTCATTTTCAAAAACTTTCATTTTCAGGCTACAACATGCCAACAAAAGTGTTCTGTTTTTAATTGAAAACTCTGTAGTGCAAACAAATAGCTCAAATTTTTAAATAAAAGAGGATGCAAATAAAATATAGGGGGGTTTAATTAAATTTGATTGAAATGAATCTGATGTATTTTTCCCAATCAGATTTTGACCTCAGATACTGAATAATTCTTTGGTTTCTGAGGTTTCAACAATTTTAGAATATTGTGTTTTCGCATTTTCAGAAAACGGTGTAAGAACTTCACTCTTTGCAGTTCCTCAACAGTACAATCTCCAACTCTTATTATATTTAAATATGAGATGAAATACATTAAAAACAAACTGTTTATGGTGCGGTAAGTGCAAAATGTAACACTATAATGTGTGATGAACATGAATTAAAACTGACCAAAAATCAATCGGCTACTTTTTTAAAGGTTTTTCTCATCACTTATAAAAATAGAAGCATCTCATTTTAACGGGCATTCATTTTCTTCTAAAATGTTTTTTTTTTTGTCTCAAAGGGAGAAATGATCTTTTCTTCACTTATTAATCAGGTTTCTTTCTGCAGGCCTAACACTGTAAACGTGCCGAACAATCTCAAACTTTGGTAACACTTTGTTTTGATGGTCCTTTTGAGTATTAGTAGGCTGTCTGCTTAATATCTACTGATACTGCTCCTTCAACAAACATTTAACTCACTATAAGAAACTTTTCAAGTACATGTCAACTTAAACTAACCGTAACCCCTTCCCCAAGCTAACAGTCTACTGATAATCTAAAGAGAATTAACCGGCATGTAGATGCAATGTAACTTAAATTCAACAAACGGACCATTAAAATAAAGTGTGACCCAAACTCTACCCAGTCTTCAATCTCCCAGAACTGAACAAACAGCATTACATATAAGAAAGTCACCGAACCTCGAGGTTTACAATTTACATCAGACATTCGTCAGAGGGGTTTTGTCATTCAAAAGATTCAAATAAATTACATCGCTCCTTGTGTCCTCCTCACCCTGTTTAAAAATAGAAAGCGCTAGAAGGACGGTAGATTAATGAGTGGATCTCCTCCGTTTGCCACTGATGCTGCGGTAGTTGAACGGTCTCATCTTCATCTCCACAAAAGGGATGGAAAACTCATGGCCTTTCCAGTGATACCAGTTTATACCCTGCCAAAGTAAAAAAAAAAGGAAGTTAATACACAAACAGCAGTAGTGTTATAAAGAGTGTTATGAAGATTTTGTATGACATGAAAACTAACTGAAAGCCCTGGGGCTGGCGGACTGAAAATACATTTTTGTGTACATATACCCCATTGTGACCTTGTTTAACTGAATCTGCGGTAAAATGCAATAGACTACAAAGCAAATGCTGAAGTGGTTTGGAACTTCCTTAAACTATACGTTTCATCCATTATTTCCTAATACTGGCACTGCACTTGTGTTAAGAGTCATGTTTGATTGGTTTCAGCACAGACCTGCATTCGCCCTATTACAGATATACACGAATCGGTGTGAGGGCAATGATGTAAATACACTTATAGCATGTTTTATAGTAAATTACATTAAATTATTGTTAAAAAATCCACTGATTTAAACTTCTCAGAACCCTTTACCTGACATGATATTAATAGCATTTGTATTGTAAGTATTTCGATATACAATAATACTATATAAATATAATTTATGGTTCTAACATAGCCACATGAGTATCACATTCACATGGGTACACAGACACTTAAACATATAATATCAGCATAATGGAACTGTATTAACTTGCAAGATTAAAATGGGTATCACTGAGTATCATTAACTGAATTTTGTAAGATTCTTAAACATTGAAACCTTATCAATGTTTAAGAATCCTATAACATTCAGTTAATAAAAAATTTAAGGAATGCACCCATATTAAAATCCCAGCAAATACTGTTATAGCTGAAAACTTATTAAATACAGTTGAAGTCAGAATTATTAGCCCCCTTTAATTATTTTTTCTTTTATAAATATTTCTCAAATGATGTTTAACAGAGCAAGGAAATTTTCAGAGTATGTCTGATAATATTTTTTTTCTTCTGGAGAAAGTCTTATTTGTTTTATTTAGGCTAGAATAAAAGTAGTTTTATTTTTTTTAAAAACATTTTAAGGTCAAAATTATTAGCCCTTTTAGCATTGTTTTTCCTGAACAAATCATCATTATCCAATAACTTGCCTAATTACCCTAACCTGCCCAGTTAACCTAATTAACCTAGTTAAGCCATGTCACTTTAAGCTGTGCAGAAATGTCTTGAAAAATATCTAGTAAAATTGTATTTACTGTCATCATGGCAAAGATAAATTAAATCAGTTATTAAAAATGAGTTATTAAAACTATTGTGTTTACACATGTGTTGAAAAAAAATCTGCTCTCTGTTAAAGAGAAATTGGGTAAAAAAAAAAACAAGGGTGCTAATAATTCTGACTTCAACTGTATCACCCAAAATCAAATTACATGACTTCCAATATTCAGAAACTGATATGTTGTACTACACTACAAAATTCATATTTTGATTTTAAGGAAATAAATGAAATATATTCTCTTTATACTTCAAACACTAGGTCCAATAGTACAAAAGACAAACAAAACAATACAAATCACACTATATACATTAAAACAGACAGTTATGCCACCATCAAAGGTGACTAATAAAGCATCTCCGTAAGCCTAGGGTTAATCAACAACATTAAAATGCTATTCTGAGAATTCTACAACCGACAGTAAAACTTACAGATTAAATTTCTCATCACTAGTGTACAACAGTAAATGTGTACAAATCTACTTGCCAATTTGTCAGTTTTTGCTTATATAACAAAGTACAATTACAATTTGTATGCTGTATGCTAACATTTCAGTACTCAATATGTACAGAAACATATGCATGTTCACTGTGTACAAACAGCTTTGAAGACTCAGTCTAGACTCATGAGAATTTTTTTTTGCTTCTGAAATGCCTCACAAAGTCATGAACACATCTCTTCTACAGACCTTTATTAACCTCTGCTTCTATGAAAAGATCCCACAGATATAAAGAGAAAATGCAGCCCTGTCGGTTTATAATAAGCTAAACCAAGTCCCTAACGCTCTTGAGAAAGCTGAAATGAAAGCAGACAGTGAGACAACAGGACATGACAATGCAATTGAGTAAGGACGGCTCTAGAATATTTTTACTCATTGCCCCGTGACTCTTTCAGTTAACTTCAAATGCTCTTGCATGTTTCCTGTCTTTAGTGCCTGCCCTTGCAAACAAAACCGTAAAGAATGAGTCACAGCTCACAAAGCCCAGTAGGTGTAAGATCAAACAGCTGAATTAAGATGGTAATCAAAGTAATAAGTTCCTGTGAGGGTTTGCCTGTGTAGGCTTCTTGTGCCTTCTTGAAACTCCATGTATAGGCGTTGGAAACAATGCGTGAACACATTACAGTGAGGTCACATTAGAAAAGTTCTGAGGTCTTTGTGCCTCAGATCACTAGTGGGTGTTTCCAGTTTAATTCAGCTTTAATTCTATAGCAGTTTTTACAATATAGATTGTGTCAAAGCAGCTTAATATACACTAAGATGTCACTTCAATGTAACTGATAGTCTGTACGTCTGAATGTTTCATTAGCAAATGCTATTGCATTATAAAATACTTGAAACATTTGTGTACACCAAATACCTCAAAACATGTAGACTAACAAAATTTTTAATGATTATTTTTTAGGGGTTTTTCTGCTGTAATTGAGATAAGACTGTTGAGTTAACAGACAGGTAAACATTGGAAGCAGAGAGAAAGGGGAAGGGTCAGCAAAGGACCTCGAGCCGGAAATCGAACTCAGGTCGCTTAACCACTAAGCTAATGGCACCCACGACTATTATTAATGATGCTTGGATAAACATCACACAATTAAATGCTAATTGTTAGCAGACAAGAATATACAAAATTTACTATACATTTCTAAGCAATGTTACTTGTTAACTTATATTTGGAATTTGTATAATTTTTTAATAATGTTAAAACAGTGACAGCTTGCGTACCTTTATTTTTGAGAGAGCAGGCTCTATTCTTTATTACAATACTAACCGTACAAAACCTTAACATAAACACTTGTAACTCCCCAAATAAAGCAGAAATGTAGATGTTAATATCAACATGTAGATGTTACGTTACTATTCTTCTTAAACAAAAACACAAAAAATAATATATATTTGAACAATTATTCTCTTCATACAGGCTGATGCCAGACATGCTGAGATCTGCCACATCTCAGTCAGTTTAAGTTTAGCGAAATACAATCAGATATTTTGTTCACTAATGTTTTATTATGTACAAATCTGAGTGAAGTAGACTAATTAAATTAAATTCATTTGAGGTGTTTGGTTTTAGAGTGTTACTGATGAAAAAATAAATATATAAGTTTAACTAGAATGTTTTTTTTTTTTTTTTTTTGTGAAGTAGTAACATTCTGCTGCTGCATATTTTCTGCATATTTTCATTATTTATGTAATATAAATCATCTCCGCTCCTGTCTCACCACCTCTATCCTCGTACATAGCCTCGTCAAACTCACGCTCTGATTACTGCAATTCTCTCCTTTATGGTCTTCCACAGAAATCCCTCTATAAGCTTCAACTGGTCCAGAATTCAGCTGCCCACATCATCCCCAAAACTCCTTCTTTTCACCATATCACCCTCATTTTACAAGATCTGTACTGGCTTCCAAACCAACCCAGAGTTGAATTTAAAGTCCTTCTGCATACATTCAAGGCCATCCATAACCTCGCACCACCTTATTTGTCTGATCTCCTCCATATCACCACTCACTCCCGCTCCTTCAGATCCTCCCCCTCCATTCACCTCTCTGTTCCCTTTGCCTGTTTCAGCACAATGGGGTTCCCTCTGTTTAAATCCAGACTTAAAACTCATCTGTTCAAAATAACTTACTCTTTATAACTGCATACTACATTCTGTATCACGTCTTTGTATTTTATCGTCTTCCAATTTTTATACTATTGGTTTATGTTTATATTAGTAAATTGTGTATATGTTGTGTAATTTTAAATAATTAAATTGTGTATATATATATGTTGTACAGTGACCTTGGGTTTCTTGAAAGACGATTTAAATAAAATGTATTATTATTACTGAAGGGTGTTATTGCAACCACAGCAGTACTAGTGCATTAAATAGTTAAACAGTGTCATTAATGAACAACCTTTAAAAAATACTATTTAAATCCATTCATACTGCCAAAACCATTTGTAATTTTTATATCACTACCAGGATGCCATTTTGCCACCAGTTACTGTCACTCTTGCTACCAGAAATCCGCAGAACTTTACTGAAATAAATGGGATGCTGTTGTTTTGTTACTGCTTCTAGCTGAATGCGAACTAAAACCAATTAAGTTGGTTAACTTTGTATGTTTGTGAAATTTACTAATAATTTCAGAATTGTTTCAGATTTGGCAAGATAACTGAGGAATCTTTCATCCTCATTTAAAATTCCAGATTGCACTGTTTGTAAAATGTTTGCTAACAAATATTGCAGAACATGAAATAAACTGAAACTTCATAGGAGTATACTCTATAGTAGATATTTTAGTCCAGTGCTACAGTATGTACTATCAGGCTTACCTGACTATGTCTAGACTCTCCGTATTTGCCGTTAAGGTTTGCCCGATGACAGTTTTTGTACCACCAGGCTCCCTTGTAAGACAGTGCACAGTTGGTGACAGCAATGTCATTGTCTTTGTCCTTGGTAGAGAAAGGTCGGCTCTGGTGGTAGCTCAAAGAATCTCCTGGAACAAAAAGAGACCACACATAAAAAACAAGCTTAACCCTTACAACTCTTTCAAGTCAGGTTTCACCAAGAACATAAATATTTTTTAAAGCATATTATTGTATTTTAAAGCATATTTTTTTTCTGTTTTAAAGTAAATTTTCGCTTTAAGACTCTCAGAATGTAGATTATTTTGTTCACATTTTAACAAATGGTTAAGCTTCTAGAAAAACCTAGAATTATATCAGCATCAACATATTGAGGTCGAATTTTGCTGATAAACATATGTTTGTCTTTTAAAAAATCATGGGACTATGAAAAAAAATATATATACGGTTTTCATTTGAAAGTGAAAGTTATTGTAAATAAAATAAACACATTAAGGTTTATGTTTCATAACTATGAACTTTGAGCGATCATGAGGTTCATTCAATCATTCATTCATTTTCATTCGGCTTAGTCTCTATTTCAGAGGTCGCCACAACGGAATAACCCTTCATAATCTTAAGGTATAAATTCAATTAACTTAATTAAATTCAGTTTAATTAAATAAGCTAATATTGGTCATTTTCAGTTTGTATGTTATTCTAAATTTAATACAATGTAAAAATTGGGAAAAATCACTAAAACAAATATGAAACATTTCAATCAAATTCCAAACTAATAAATAGTGTACAGTAAATCCAGAAAGATATTTTGTGGTCTATAATTAAAAACTAATACTAACACTAATATTTTTAAAGCATTTCTGAACTGCTATAACTGAAACTGTCTGCCATTCATTAATTCCTGAGAACAATATGGTTAAGATACAATATAGTTTTAGTAGAAAAAAATTATGTTGCTGACTAAACCAAAAATTTGAAAACAGTATTGACGATTTTGAAGGCATTATGAGGCATTATTGAAGGCAGCCTGAAGATATCAACTTTGAAAAGTGTTTAAATTATTCAGGGAATCCAAAACAAGTTATTTTCTGTCAATATACAAAGTAAAAATATTCTCCGGCCTTACCTGCGGTGCCATTGTACTCTCCTATCCTCAGTTTGTAAAGGCTCTTGGAGTCCCCAATGGAAAACCTGTCATAGTTGGCGTATACAGACTCCTGGCCATCCTTCATGTCAATACGAAGCTCGTAACGACCTTGAGCTGCAATCTTATGAATGTTGTCCAAACCTGCACAGAGAAATGCTCAAAAATAAATAAATAATTCAGAGACACAACTACAAGACTATCTATCCCCCAGCCATGCCATCTCCATGCACCAGCCTCTTAACATGTAAAAATGTCGACTTCAAATATGGTGCACACTGATAAGAGCTCATAATTTAATATAAAAGCAGCGCTCCCGTTTGGTGGTCCATCACACTCTCTCTGACTCTTATATGTTGTGAAGATAAGGAGCCAAAGACTGCAGATAACAGTCTGTTTATTGAAGATAATCAAATTGTCTGACTGTGCGGTGGAGAAATGCCCTGTCTAGCTAAAGACACAATCACTTTTTGATAGCGTAGATGCCGGCTGATAGCAGAACTCCATCTGTTTCATGATTATCTACAGTACGTGGATGTGCTGTACCTCTGAACTGTAACTAAGCCCTTAAACTCACCTCAGGATTTAAAGCCACAGAGTTAAACCCAGGAAGCAGAAGGATGATGAACCGGAACAGTGAAGGTAAAGATCTAAATTACCAGACATTTTCGACTGGTACATGTAAGGGATGTCAATGTTGTAATAAAATTGGTATGTTTTTTTTTTTATTTTTATTTTTTTTTATTGTATGCCCATATTCACAAAACATTAACATCAAAATGTTTTAACATGTTAAAGAGAATGTACAGTCTTGAGAGTGAAAGTAACAGAGAAATTATTGTAAAAAAAAAAAATAAAATTATATATATATATAATTTGGAGACCAAATTGGCCAAAATCTATCAGATTTTTTATGTTTGTCATAGGTACGTTTTTCTAATGGTAGCCATGTAGCAATCTGTGATATCCACATTTTAAAAGATGGAGCTTGTGATGCAGACCAGAGTAAAATTGGTATGTTAAAAAAAAAAAAAAAAAAAAAAAACTTTACTGAAGTTTTAGCAGCATGCATGCCATTTTAGCAGCATGAATACAATTTTTACTGACCTAATCAGTACCATCTCTGCAAGGCACCATTTTCACTTGATTAAAATCAGCCAGGCATCACACAGTGCATGATAACTTAAATATTACAGATTCATATACCTCTTTTCACTATTTTGGGTAGAGTAATGCACTTTAACTGCACATGCACACTTTCTATGTTGTTTCAATTACCCTTAATAAATAATATTTGATCAATTATGGTTCTCGATGTAAAAGTACTGCATTAGTGTTCAGGTATCATGCTTTTACCTCTGTCTGCAACTATATTATTAGTAGTAGAAGTAATATTATTATTATAACAACTCATTTTTACTAAACTTATTGTTTACTAAATAAAAACATTTTTTATTTTACAGATTTTTGGGACTGCATAAAAACAAAACACTGTCAACTTCTCCTACCCAGAAAACACTGGATATTCAGTGTGTAATTCGATTGCGAGATATTTACGAAACAAAAGAATGCGCTCAGAAATAAACACACAGAGAACTTATATAAGCTCTTTACTTAAGACTGATGCTTTTAATGTAAACTTTTATTCTCTTTATGTGTGATCAGGTGTTTTGCCACAAGTCTCTTGCTTATGTGTTAATATTATGGTTTCAATACTTCTGCAATCAATGTTTACCTCAACAATCATAAATCTTGTTTCATGGTTCATGTTTGATGTCCCTGTAAAGCTAATTTGGTGTAATTAATAACTGTTTAAATTTTATGTTAATACGTGTGTAACATATTAACATTTTAGGAAGCTTTGAACATTTCTGCCTCAGTTTACACCCACAATGTCTATGCAAAATACTACGCTTTGGAAGAAAGACTATGGCTGTTTCTCAATATGCGTTCTTCAACGGTCTTGGGTCCTCATGTTCTCATGTAACTTCATCATAAGCTGCCAAAGTTCAGTTCCAATACTCAAGATCACAAGAACAGAGAACGCGTGAAATCCCAGATGTGTTCTTGATATCGAGGACACACTGATGCAGCGCCAAACTTACTCAAGAAGTCACAGAAGTCATTGCGACTGGAGGTGGGAAGCGCTGCGTTTTATTTAGATTTATTATTAAAGTTCAGAGTTGTCACTTATTTACCTCAGGAGTTTCCCTAAATGAAACGGTGAATATAAACTTTACCATGTACATCTTAATAAAGGAATAAACAAATTAAGGGTGTTTGTTTGCTGAAATTCATTTAAATATCTATTTTATTTGTATTGTGCAACATATATTTATAATGTTTTATGCATAGTATATATTTAAAAAAAGGGGAAAAACAATAAATCGTTGTATGAATGCTGTAATGTTTAAATAATATTCTATTAAAAACAGTTGAAGGTCATGTGACCATCCGAAAGAACGCAGCATCTCATTCCTCACAGGATGCGTTCTCTGTTCTTGTGGTCTCCCGAGTTCCTTCTTCCGAAGACACCTAGAAAGACCGGTCTTTATAGGAATGCAAGTCTGTTCCCTGCGTTCTTGGAATTGAAAAAACAGCCTATAAAATGTGCTTCAGGAGAGTTAATGTCTCATTGGTCAACTCAGCTGTAAGTAAGGTGATTGGCTGGGCCATTCTACAGCTTGATTTTCTTTCTCTGAAAACATTTAAGAGTTTCCTTGGCTGTGTTTTGGATCATTTTCTTGCTGAAATGTCCACTCTGGTTTCATCACCCTGATAATGTTGATGTTGGACTAAAGTTGCTAATATTAATTTATAATGACGAAGGATAGAGTGTTGCTGAATAGCTCCTGAGAGATTTCAGCTACTGTCTGGGCTTTCACTGCCTTTCTACACCTTCCTTTCATGTTTTCAATAGCTTTTTCCTGTGTCATTGTATTGTACTAGACACTAGTTAATTTTTTAAATAATTAGATTTGTTTTAAAACTAATTAGATTAGACTAGATTAGATTAGTTTTAGCTTGGTAATTAAATGTGTTTTTGTATATACATCCATTCATAATATAAATACCATTCATTCATTTTCTTTTCAGCTTAGTCCCTTCATTAATCAGGAGTTGCCACAGCGGAATGAACCGACAACTTATCCAGCATATGTTTTACACAGCGGACGCCCTACCAGCCACAACCCAACACCGGGAAACACCCATGCACTCTTGCATTCACACTCATACACTACAGCCAAATTAGTTCATCGAATTCACTTATACTGCATGTCTTTGGACTGGGGGAAACCGGAGCACCTGGAGGAAACCCACGCAAACACAGGGGGAACATGCAAACTCCACACAGAAATGCCAACTGACCCAGCTGGGGCTCGAATTAGTGACCTTTTTACTGTGAGGCGATCCTGCTACCCACTGTGCCACTGTGCTGTCCTATATTTTTATTAATATGTTATTATTTTTGCGAATGCCTACTCAGATTATGTTCCTTTTTTTCTTCAAAAATGATTGTTCCATCATTGGATAATTTCAAGCAGAAACTGAAAATAAATTAAACTAGTTCTATGTCTTCTGTGTACAAACAGTCTGAATCTAAAATATTTTCTACAATTTTTTTCCCCTCCACAGTTTAGACTGAAATCTCCTGGAATAAAGCCTAACAGGGTAGTGGAGTCTATTACTTTTCAGAATGACTTTGTGCCTTCTTCCATAACATCATATCTCTATAGTACTGTCCCGTCTGCATGGCTGAACTCCAGCTCCATTACTTAAACACACCATTCAGGAGAAACCGAGAGTCATGACCAGGTGAGGAATTACAAGGAGAGGCCAGTGAGAAACACCACAGCAAAAACAGACCTGCTCTCTGCTTTGAATGTCTGAATGGGGCAGGCCAGAACAGTTTGTGTAGCTGATGAACAGACAGTGCTTGTTGGCGATGCAGGTCAGTAAAAGGTTGTAACTAAAAAAAGAAATGCATGTTGCACAGGCTGCTGTGTAAAAATGCTCTCAATAATTCAATATATCAGGGTGATGCGGGGTATTAAAATGAATGATTTCTTTATGAGTTGTTGAATAACCTTTTGTTATTCTTGAATGTTTCGGTGCAAGTAGTATAACCCATGTCTTCGAATGTGGGATTATTAATATTTTACTTACATCGTTGCATTGGTATACACAGTACAGTTCAAAATGTTAGGATTGTTTAAAATTTTTTAGAAATAGGCAGTTGACCGAAGCTGAATTGATTTGATCAAGGATATTTTAATATTATAACAAATTAATATAAATTCTATTTTAATGTATTTTAAAATGTAATTTCTGTGATGGCAAAGTTGAGTTTTCTGCTGCTTAATATTTTTGTGGAAGCCATGATTTTTTTAAAGATTCATCGTTTTACTGGCAGCATTTATTTAAAAGAGAACAAATTTTAAAACATTTTTAATTGTACAATTATGAATATCTTTACTGTAACATTTTATCAAGTAAATGCATTGTTGCTGCATAAACATTATAATAAAATAATAAAATCTGAGCTCAAAATGTTGAATGGTGGTATTTGTAGTTGCAAAAATATAGTTACAAATACAGTACAGTACAAATAAATAATAATAATAAAAAAAATAATAAAATAAAATAAACAAAAAGAGCTTGGGCATTACATAACAGCTAGGTTGGAAACCAAAACCAAAAGCCTCTATAGTTTGTCAGTAACAACTAGCTTTTTCAATAGCTATAGTATAACAAATAGCTACAGTTGGTAACACAAATACATACAACAGATTGTCTTAATTTTCAGTTGCATCACATTTCCAACAGATGCAAGCAAGCTTCACACCTTTGCAAAGTTAACTAAATGTTTAACGGAAATTCAGATCAGCATACAGAAAAGTATATTTTGATCATGGTGCCTGTTTTTATCATGTGGTTATGATGTGGTATACAGCCCAATAGATGCATTTCACACAAAGCATCCGCCTGCTATGTATTACCATAGCACTGTGTAAATAAAAGCAATAATACATTTGAAACTTGTGTCTATCTTCATGTTAAATCAGTATTGATTCTTTAATCCTTAAAGTCTATGCTGTTTTAAGTTGCTGCATCAATCAAATGTCACTAAAATTCTATAGGGTAACTCTTGTACAATAATCACAAGATTTGTTTTATTACTTATCTTTCATGTTCTCTTCATTTAATGAGGAAATTTCAACAATAACTACTGTTTTGATTGTATTTGATGTGGCGAGACTGTATACAGTCATGTGATCATACATCTTTAATATTAGTTGTCATAAAATAAGTGTCACGTCACCTCAAGAAAAACTTTAACAAAACATTGTATACAATATCGTGTAGCATTCAATTGTAAATATATATGAGTAATATCACATGAGTAGCAGTGCGATGTAGCTATACATCGGCACTGGTGAGAAGTGTGCGTTGACACGAGGCTGCTGGCTGAGTGCCTTAGTGCCCCCACCAGTGACAATATACAACCAATGCTACGCATGTGTTATTGCGTTTATACAACAGTTCGACGGCATAAATCGTGTAAAAAGGAAAAAACAAACACAGAGAGTCTCATAAACCCTTTTGTATGAAGAACTACTGTCTTTCACCACTTATTCACATCTGCATCTGACAGCAGAAACTGTTGCTACTTCACAAACATCACTTTACATTTCTCAATTGTAATCAGGAAATCACAATAATTATCCCTGAAAAAGCCAGAGCAAAGCAAACATTACCAGTTTCTGTGTAAATACAGCACTACAAAAGAGAGAGATTGACTTAGAATGTCATTTACCTTTAATAATGAATTGATCAGCTGTAGTTAGAAATTACACTGTTTTATCCTATAAGGGCTTTTTATGCGTTATCTGTTGCCATCTTGTGGATGAACAATGTAAACTAAAGCATCTAAAGCAGCGTCAGCCAATGAAATTAGCCCGCAATTGGCTACAGTCTGAACTGGGGTTTTGCATTAAGCGATCAGATTGGCTGACATTTCCATTGGCGCTTGAAGGGTTGAGAAATCCCCAACTTCTGCAGCGAGAAACGCCACTGAAGCCGCGTCGACAGATCCACAACTCAGTTTGGCAACACTTGACATCACCCATTCAAAGTGAATGGGAAGTGTTGACGCTGACGCCATGTGTAAATGGGCAAGGGTGAAGCGTTAAGAGGCTGGAAGAGTGCTGTTGTTTGCAGAATATCACACGGCTATCAGCCAATCAGATTAAAAAACCAGACAGAACTGTTGTATAAGTTATAGGTGGGCATAGACAAAATGTTTTAATCTATATTAATCTCACTGTAATCTTGGAATTAATCTAGATTAAAATGGCTCATTGGAATTTTACCGATGGCATTCAGAATGTGTTCTACTCAAATAATGACATCAAAATGCAAAATGCGTCACAAACTGCTTGAGAAACTGTTCTACTATGATAATTGATGATGAAAATAAATGATGTTAAATAAGATGTACTTGTGTTTATGAACTGTTTATTCAGTTAAACATGAATTTTGAACTGTAGGCCTACATAAGCTCCGAACAGTGATTTTTGATTAACTTAATCTGACTAAAGTCATATCTGAACTAAACAGAAACGGAATTAAGACATGTGGAGAATGCATTTATTAGTGGCATTCTTGAAGTACACAACGCAATAAAGCTATTACTGTCATGTAAGACTTTCCGCTTATGAATGAAATGCTCATGAGTGAAAGTGCAGAACTGCAGTTAAAGTCACCCAAAATTACAGGAAACTCTTACATGAAAGCACTTCACGTAAACATCTTAATTATATTATTGTCTATTAAGGCAAATAATTAGATTACAGATGTCCATGTAAGCGTAGTCAGTAGTGTCTTCGAAGTAAGTGAAAGATCCAGAAGGGCATCCTGCTGATTTGATTCAGAAGGGCACTGTTTTGTCAGACGGCTCACTGGCTTGACTTTTATTCACCGTCATTGATTTAAAAAAATATTCGGTCTCTCTACAGGTGCCTGATAGTTAAAAGTGGAGCTAACATTAATCAGATTCACTCTAGTGAACTGTCTTCATGTTAGCAAGTCAGGTTTGATGTGGTAATTTCACAGTAGGAATACACACAGGTTTGAAGACTCGTTCTCGCCCATAACAGCGCAAATCGGCCAGGTATACATCCGCGCTAAAATACCAAGGTGAAGGTCATCATAGCTTGCATAGAATAGACCCAGCTCTCAACTCAAAGCAATCTGGGCTCTGTAGTTTATTTAACCCTTTTAACATTATAGCAGAGGGCAGTTATTAAGGGTCCTTTTCTATTTTTACTAGAAGAAAGATTATTTATGCTTCAGAACATTGTAACTATAATTGAAGTCATTTGTAGCCAGCTTTGTAAACACAGCAACATTTCCCTTCTAAAGACATACTGAATAGTGAGATCAAAATATAAGTGTGTACTAAACCATAATTTCTGTGTACTTTTACAGTCCCAGTGTATTAAGAAGCCACTCTTCAAAAGTACTAGCAAGGAGATGCACTCCTGCAGACAGTATTTACTTTCTGCTTATGAGCCCAAATCTTTCAAATGAGCTCCTTCCACACTAAATATAGTTAGACATATTATCCAGTCGTAAATGTCTGCAGAGGCATAATTTGTAATGTTTACTTTTTATCTGTAATTGAGACAATGCTCCAAAATCCTCGCCGTGCTCAAATGCTACTTTTTTCCCCTGTGAATTTTAATGAATATAATTATAGCTTTCTAATAAGATTTATGCATCAGGGATAAAAAGAAAAAAAGGGTCTCTATTGTTCAGCATCAAATTGGATTTTGATGAAAATAATTAGCGGATCATTTAAACAGAATCTGAAAGCCGAGAGTCACCAAGACAGACGGAGGGGTCCTGAAGCACAGGGCTCATACAAACACCAGATACCGCATGTATGAGGGCACATGGAGGATTTTCAAAGGACTGCGCTTTGATGCAGCCTCTCGTGGCGCTAGAAGACTTTGTGTTATTTTCATCTTTATTCAGAGCAGCACCACACTGTCTATCCTTTGAAAGTGGCCTCCGTATAATGCAAGTAAATAGGAGAGCTATACAGTGTCCCTGGAGCAAGTTAGGCTAAGTACTGGAATCTGTTATTTAAGGCAAGACACTGCAGGCAAAAACACTGTCAGTTTTGAGATTTGGGGCTTTTTCATAAAGAGTTTTTCACTCTAATGGAAAGAAAACAGTTCTTTTTCTAATGTGTGTGTGTTTTCCCTGTGAATTAGACCTAAATTATAATGTATATATTTATAAAAACTATTCTTAAAATGTAAATCTCCTCTTCAGCAACATTAGCTTACGCCGAACTGCAGTTTAATTTCTATGTATATATTTTTTCTAAAAGTGTTTACAGAGCTATTATTTTTATACATATTTCGCCTAATTATGTACAACATTTTATTCTAAAAAAACAGTTTATTAATTTATTTACTTTCCTTTGGCTTAGTCCCTTTTTGGATCAGTGGTTGCCACAGCGGAATGAACCACAAACTTATCCAGTATATGTTTTATGCAGTGGATGCCCTTCCAGTTGCAACCCAACACTGGGAAACACCCATACACTCCCGCATTTACACAAATACATTACGGCCAATTAGCTTATTCAATTTACCTACGGTGCATTTATTTGGACTGTGGATAAACCAGAACACCTTAACAAAACCCATACAAACACGAAAAGAACATGCAATCCACACAGAAATGCTAACTGACCCAGCCGGGGCTCGAACCAGCAATCTTCTTGCTGTGTGGCAACAATCAGTGGTGGATTTAGGCATGGGCAATATGAGCGATCGCCCTGGGAGCATCTTGCTGGGGGAGGCATGGGGGAAACAAAAAAAGTTCCCTAGTAAAAGCTTTGAGATAAGATTTACTTTATGCAAGTGTATTGAGTGGTTATCCAACAATAACGACGTTAGGGGGCATTCACAATTCAAATTACAACTCAAGTTTGATATTCTTTATGTGCAACCGAAACAACGCATGGTGAAAACAAATTGACAGATTTGCACAGAAAGCCATTCCAGCGCGCCTCACACGCTAATCCTGATCCCAGTTGTTTACATGCATGACGATGTGTGTCGGCATGCAAGTTGACAAAACTAATTTTATATAATATGATGATGGTGCTACTTTGACTAAGCATGGCTATGAAGCAGAAAGGGGGAATAATGAGTCAGGGAGGTAACTAAGACTTCATAACATCAATTCTAGGCCATGAGTTGGGTCTAAGACAGCAGATAATTAATAAAAGATATATTTTTTTGTATTCTAAAGAACAAATTGTTATATTTATTGAAAATAAATAAAAAAATTAATTTATTATAATTATTTTAAATGTATATATTTAAAATATATATTTAAATATATATAATATCAACCACATAGTGTCTTTATTTCTTGGGGTTAAGGGAGATATTTGGGGGGTAGGGTTGCCATTTAAACTAGAACCACCACTTGCGACAATGCTAACCACTGAGCTAATGCGCCGCTCTACAAAACATATTTTTCCTTCATGTGATAAAAATAAATACTCTGACTTCATCCAGTGTTCAAATAATTGAGCTAGAATTGTATGCAAATTAGTGTTTATTTAATTAAATAATAGCGAATTTGCATAAATAAACAACACATTTTAGAAAACGTACACATTTTTTAATTCAAGCATGGTCATAACTATTATTATTTTTTGTACCCTATTCACTTGCAGTGTCTTGTTTTAAATAAACAAACTTCAGACTGTTAGTCAAGGGCACTCAATGCTGACTTACATTTTTCAAGATGTATGCTTGAATAAAACACATTTGTGAGAAAGTGCTGAAAATTTAGAGATTAATGGGGCCTAAAGAAGGCGTACTATTAAGGTTCATCACGTAGCAGCCTTTTCTCCAGACAGCTGTAACTGCTCTGTCTATAATTCAAGTGTAGTTCACATCTTCTCACCGAGCCAGAATTCGTCCTCCAGGTTGCCGAAGCCGATCTTGTAGTCAGTCCACTTTCTGGAGAAATCCGTCAAACCGTTTTGACGTCTCTGAAACACCTGAAAGACAGTCAGCAGAGGTTTCAGCTGCCGCACTGAGCTGCGTCATTCAGGAAAGATTTTGTAAATAAAATAGTAAATTTAGTGAAATACGCAAAACACAGGCCTTCACAAAAACTGTTCTCTGGATTGCATTGTAAACATCAGATTTTAAATATGTATGTATGTTAATGAATTCCAGTAATTCGGAAATAGGATGCGAGAACACTCTCTTTCACCATTAGCATAATCCCTAATAAATTATACTCATGCAAGTTACTTCCAGAAACATAAAATGCACAAAAGACTTGAATAAACATAAATATTGTATAAACCACCAAAGTCCACAAAACTATGACTGCACAATATATGGTTTCGGCATCGATCATTCGCAATAGTCACATCGCAGGATATATGCAATGTTGAGTTTGCATTATAATTCATCATTTGCATGTGTTTTTGATGCTTGTGATTGTATAATGATTTTAAAGGCATTCAGGTATAAGAAATTGTACCATTTTGACCTCAACTACAATTAATTTTATTGAATAATTTGTATTTTTATTATTCAGATACTACATGTCAATACTGTTAGACGACAAAATATGTTTTTGTATCTTTTTCTTGATTGTATTTATAGATTGTTGTGCATAAAAATACTCACAACATGTGCAAATACAGAAATGCACTGCAGATAGCACAGGGCACAACAAAAATGTGTTGGAGGACCCCAAAAATTAATAAATTGTTTATTAGATTTTATGGAGATGCATTCTCACTGCAGAATCATCCCAATACATCTAACATTATAAAATCTTTTCAAATAGAGATATTATGTCATCTGGTGAAATTGTATTCATATCACAATATATATCGCAAAATAAAAAAATATCGCAATTTAATTTTTTTTCCAATATCCTGCAGCCCTGCACCAAACCATTTTAAACCAGCTTTAAAATGTCAAGCCCTTGTTCCAAAATGGCCAGCTGTATATCGCCTGAGAATATTCTGGCAGCACATCCAGCTGACAATATAGTTGCTACAATTCAATCTGCACCAGTAATTTTTTCTTAGCATCTTATTTTGAAGAATATTTTTGAAGATGAAAATGAAGTAGTCAGTAAAATTGACTTCTTCTTTGTTGTTTAGTTGTTGTACAAATACAGTATGATGATTGATTGGCATATTTGTCCCATGCCTCCCCAATTTACTGAACGGCTGGGTGACAAGCCATTGCACCAAAATTAAGTGTATTGAGTTTGCCAAGAAGAACACAGAGGTTTTACACCACATTTACGCATGGTAGGAAGCTAATGTACATTTCATCCATGCCAACTAACATTTGGAAAATATGATAATATCAGAAATTTCAGAAATATCTGAAAATGTCTATCAGAATTACACAAAAAAATGTTCTGATTGTGTTTTTGAATAAGGCCCATTGTGTTTTTGGGCAATATGGAGCAAATGAATGACAATGTATCCCAGCAGTGTCATTTTATTGATGGAATTTGCAATAAAGGCAGCTGTGTTGGTGGTCATGACCAGTAAAGACCAGCTGTAAAGAGCAGAATGGACAATCTCCAGCATATGTTGTGTTCTGAATATTGGTCTCTGGGTGGAGAAAGACGGCAGGACCTAAAACGTACACTTGGTAAGTGCTAAAGGCAATTATATGTATTTGCCAATTGGATGATAACTTTATTAGGACAGACAATATGGTTCAAGGTTAATTGTAAAATCAATAGTCTGACCTTCGCTGATGTAAGTGCCGTTTGTCCGGTGTAAAAAAAAAAAAACTCTACGGAAAAAAAATGGCAAAAAAAAAAAACATTTCTCCAAACCCCTTGTCTAAATAACAAAAATAAGTGCATAAATAAAAAAAAAAAAAAAATATATATATATCAATACATATTATTAACTCCTAATAGCATATGCAATTAATATAAATTAACAGCTGATAAATAACACAATTAATATCAGATTCATATGAATGATATAATGAATGTGTATAAACATTAAATAATAATATGAATTTGTATAGGATACAGAAATAAGTAATAGAATCAAAATGTAATACATATATTTAAATGAATGCAGTTAACTGATATTAACAGTACACTGCCAAAAAAAAGTCTTGTCTCCTTTAGAAGTTTTAGGAACAACGAATAATAACTTTTAGTTGATGACTTGTTATCAGAGGTGGCTAATATGAAAGGCAAATGCCTCTAGATGACACTTTTTTCACCAAAATTAATTCATTTTTTTGTTATTTAATTAGAAGAGTAAGGTCTGACTTTGCTTTGACACAAGTCTTGTCACTCAATAGAAGTAATGTACAGTATAGAATCTAAAGTCATGGTGCAGTGGAAAAAGAATTAATATTGTGTATGACTTCCATGAGCTTGGACGACTGCATCCATACATCTCTGCAATAACTCAAATAACTCATTAATAAAGTCATCTGAAATGGCAAAGGAAGCGTTCTTGCAGGACTAACAGTGTTCATCAAGATTTTTTGGATTCATTTTCAATGTCTTCTCCATCTTACTCCAGACATGCTCAATAATGTTCATTACTGGTAACTGGGCTGGCCAAACATGAAGCACCTTAATCTTTTTTGCTTTCAGGAACTTGATGTGGAGGCTTAAGTATGGGAAGGAGTGCTATCCTGCTAAAGACTTTGCCCTCTCCTGTGGATTGTAAAGCATGATTTTTCCTTTACCAAACTTGACGGATTTTTGTGAGAATCTTGGGTCCATAAGGATTCCAGTAGGTCTTCTTAAGTATTTGTGATGATTGGGATGCAGTTCAACAGATGATTCATCAGAAAAATCTACCTTCTGCCACTTTTCCAAATGATCAACAAGAAGTCAATTTATTATTTGTTGCTCTTACAACTGAGACAAGACTTTTGTCATGCAGTGTATATAATCAATAGTATTAATATACTCTAATCAATAATATTACTATTCAAATCAATACAATTATTAATACATGTCATGCACTAAAAATATGCAAAATAGTAATTTCAATGAGCTTTAGTTTTTCTAACCAGTTTGAAAATTGGTCTAAACTGCTGATTTGCACAACGGGCAGCTCTATAACAAGCTATTTTGTGTATATCATGCCAGATGTTCAGCACAAAACAGACAGGTTCAGATCTCTCACTCACTATCCAGCCGCCTCCATCAGTGGTCATGTCACAGTAAACCTGCACGCCTTGACTGAGGTCTCGGTTGACGTAGATAGTGTAGATCCCACCTAGAGTCTCGCCGTTTAGGAGGTGTTGCGCGCAGTTCTGTGGCGTTGGAAACAATCGGTTTCCTGTGGAAGAAAAAGGGTTGAGAAATATTCAAAACAACACAGCCAAACAAAGTGAGGGGCCACTGGGAGGTTAATGAGAGGTGATTTGCGACCACAATGAAGTGTGAAAGTGTTGGTGTTATGCAATACTATATTTGGAAGAAGGTTGCTTGTAAAGTCACAGAAACACAGGGCACTAAATGAGCGATGTGCATAGATGCGCTGAAGGTGTCACAACTGATTTGTACTTTATGCTGTTGATGTGGTGATATTGTGTACTGGAATGTAATGGGGTGAATGAACCTAATTTGAAGTTTACAGGAGATGTGGGATATCTGCACCTGCTGTAAAAGATTTGATGACAATGGAGCTGGTCTCCTTGTTTTGCATTAGTAATTTACATATTTATTTCTAGTTGGAAACTAATCCTAAACTATTTAAAACCATTATATGGTTTTTAAAGATGAAAGTTTATAAAATTATGAAAATTAGCTTTTCATTTATCAATCCTATATAGGATATAGGAAAACTTTTTATGTTAAGAAATATTTTAGGCAATATTGGTTGACACATAAACAGGGTTTTGGAGCTTAAAATTATTATAGTTTAACTACTGAATGTATTGAACTGAATGTCTTTAGTTCCTTTCTGGGATTTTAGTGTCTTAGGACCATTGCTGTCTATGCAGAATAAGGGATGTCTCAGATTTAATCAAAATTTTTGACGTCATAAGGGTGAGTAATAAATATTAACAGAATTCTAAATATTTGGGTGATCTAACCATTTAACAGTTATACTTTTATAATAAAAAAACATGGCAAACTACAGGCAGAACTAAATTAATACCTATGGCTCCTAATGATATGGTATGGAGGGAAATTATGGTTCTGTGCAAGACACCGAACAATATTCACAACTTTATTACATTTAATCTGCAACCTCTGGTACCTCACAGATATTTTTGGTTCATAACACCTCAATATTCTGTTAAAATTCACAGATATTCATTTTAATTGTTCTGTATGTTTTTCATGTCATCAAATTGCCAGCTGACAGTGACTTGCATGTTATGAATAACCAAGAGCTACAGATTCAGCAAAAAAATGTTATTGTTGGCATGGCGAAGAGTTAGTACTCAATTAAATTTTTTGACATAACTATTTAGTATTTTTTACTAAATGTACTGTTTACTACAGTATTGCTATAGTATTGAATATACTATTTAGATCAGGGGTGCCCAAACTGGAGGGCTGGTGTCTTGCAAAGTTTAATTCCATCCCCAAATAGAAACACCTGAAGCAGCTAATCAAACTCTTTGTATGTATACTAGAAACTTCCAGGCAGCTGTGCTGTAGGAATTTGGAGCTAAACTATGCAGTACACTGGCCCTCCAGGTCTGAGTTTGTGCACCCCTAATTGATATATTTCCGCCAATACTGCATATTCTGTTATAATTTAGTCTTTGTTTAACTTTGTTTGAGTTTCTTTTTACAAAAAAATATTGGAAACCGGTAACCATTAACTTCCATGATAATAGTTTTTTCCCCACTATGGAAGTCAATGGTTACAGGTTTCTGCCATTTTTCAAAAATATATTATTTTGTGTACAACAGAAAAAACACTAAACCTCAATGTTTTGGAACCACTTGAGAGTCAGTAAGCCCTGAGTACATTTTAATTTTTAGGTGAACTATCCCTTTAAGTCAAACAGTAAAATTGTAAGTCTGACAAAGAAACATCCTTAGTAGAAAATGTATCAGTTCCACTTTTGTATTTTTCCAAACTTTCATGTGGTTTTAGGTGAAGTTCCTTGATGGTCTTACTATTGATTTATACCTTATAGGCCAATAATGTGCATTTGCACCTAATGAAGTGAATGAACCCCGTTTAAAGTTTACAGGAGATGTGAAGGATTCACACCTGTTGTGAAAGATGTAGAAACAATAGCACTGGTTTCTAATCCTCTGGCGGCTTGCAGTCTCACAGTATATTCGGTGGTCTCCGCCAGCCCCTCGAGACGAATCCATGTGTCTTCCGCATCTAAGATCAGCTCCTAAAACACCACCAGACACAGATAAAATCCGCAGGGATAACTACATTAGCTTTTGCTCAAACACCGTAGACCAAAACTAAACAATGAAACCGCTCTGTGGCAGAAAGCAGTTTTGTGGAAAACATGCCTGATGTAGTACAAAGAAAAGCAGCTCTTAGCATTGTGGGGAGGAAAGATATTCCTCATAAACAAGCAGAAAACAGATCACAATCACTTTAGGAACTGCCTGACAAATTGTTGTGATCCCAAGTTGCTTACTGTTGGGTGCTTTTCATACAATACTGCATTTCCTCCCAGTGTTTTTCTTCCATATGATTGGCAGGTCTAAAACCCATGATGGGGGAGGAAGAGTCTTATCAGGCTCTGGTGCTGCTGGGAAGAGATGGCGTTTCTATTTTGGTCTTTGACACTTGACACTTCACTTCCTTTCTTTTGTTTTTTTTTTTATTTTGAAAAATGCACTTTTATCAAACTAATCTGCCACACATTTATACCCAGATCTTATACTAAAAGGGTTCAGACAGGACTTGGATGGATGGTTCCACATGTGACAGCCTTGAGCAGCATGAAATAAGAAAGATTTGATTTAATATTCATGCTTTTTTAATCAAAGTCACACATGTAATGTGAATTATGCAGCAGAGAAGTGTAACATAAAGGTTGCTTAGTATGCAGAGGACATTGAACATGTAATTGTATTAGTGGAGCTGCAGTCAGTAGCTTACAGTTCAGTATGTTCTCCATTCCTACACAGAACTGGGTTGAGGGCCACACATTGTGGATGTAGATGCCGCATTATTATTTTCGGCACAGTAAGCCTTGGAAAAACTCCCAAATTGTGTGCTATTATCAAAACTCTCAGCCTTAGGATGCCGACCACGCTCTAATGGATAAAGAAAGCTTTTATGTCTAAGATGCACCAGCAGGGTTTAATATCATCTGTGCACCACTGACACCCACTGGACGAATACAAACACTAAAAACAGCAGGCTACTGGGTCAGAGCATTCATTTCGTGCATTGATTGTGTGTGTTTGTGTGTCTGTGTAACAACATAAATCTAAAAATTAGAATCCATAACCTCTTGTATTTCCAAGAAATCCATTGATGCATTTTCCCCATCAGGGTGTTAAATAGATGTTCAAAACAGATTATAGGAGAGTGATCATGCATTTAATGTAATAATTTGAAGAGTTAAAAGATACTGTATAAATCATTTCAGAAAAAAATGATTCAGAAACATCTTTAATGGATATACCATGTCGGCAATGACTTTGTTAAATGATTAATATTTATTAATGAGCAAACATTAAACAATTGAATTAAACCAGGCTTTTCTGACAGATCTAATTGTTCCTTTACATGGCTGAACTGTGTTGAATGCCGTTTACGCTAGACTGGAACGGGTATTCCAGGAATGCAATGAACAGAAATGTGAACATCAGGTAAGATTCAAAAGATTTTTATGTTTAGTATTAATGTTTAACACTTATGAGCTGTATGCATTGTTCAGTGTTGAATCCATGTTAAGCTTACCTTTCGACTGCCATCCGCTGCTTTGTAGGTCAGCATGTAATTGTCGATGTCTGCGATGGGTGGCTGCCAGGATATGAGGGCACTTCGATGGTTAATCTCACTAGCTGTCAGGTTCTGGGGAGCATCCATGGCTGTTTAAACAAAGAGCAGAGTGTCAAAGCAAATGTGGAGGATCTTCAATATACAGACCAAACACATTGGTTTTACAGTAAGTCTCAATAGCTGGTTTGGCAGCAAATACACAGTCTTCAATTTCCTTCTGATTTGATTAGTACTGACCACAGTTTTTTTTGTTTACAATTAGTGCTGGGCAACGATTTATCATGAATTATCAAATCCAAAATACAAGTCTTCGTTTACATAATATATGTACCATTCTATTTACAGTAAAAATTAACCATTATTTACAGTTATCTAGTAATATTTATGTAATGTACTTATGTTTGAATGGCACAAATACAGTACCAATGTTTTTGAAAGAAGCCTTGTCTCAACAAGGCTGCATTTATTTGATCAAATCAAATAAAGTATGCTAAATAAAATACATTTTATAGACTCTTTATAAATAAATCTCTTATACTCAAAGCTGCATTTATTCCATTAAAATGTGGTCAAAACACTGATGCTTGATAATATGTAATAATGTTTACATTAGAAAATATCTAAAGTGGATCATCACCTTTCAATAAAGTTGTCCTAAAACCATTCAACAACACCAATTCTTGACTTAAGACAATTTGGAAAACTACTGACTACTGTTTAGCATTACTATGATAAAATAAAGAAATCGAAAAACTGTTAACCTATACAAAAATTAAACCAACATTCTTTTATTTAAAAAAAAAGAATAAAAATGAAATACATAAACAAGCCAAATTCAAGAAAACAGGGTACCCGCAGGGTCTTAAAAAGTCTTCAAATTTCTTAAATCTCCAAAGCTAAACTTTAAGCCTTAAAAAGTCTTAAATCTACTGAAATATTTTAAATGAAATCATTATTATTGTAGACGGAAGTAATTGATAGTTATGTTTTGTTCTATTCTAGGTAAGGGTTTTAGGGTTTGTGAATAGATATAATTGAAAATTAAATAAAAACAATATTCAAACAAAATTATTAATATTGTATTATTAAATGTACTACATTTTCATCATTTTTTGATGGGGCTATTGAAATTTTTTTTTAACTGGTATATTTGAAAAACAATCCTTAGCATTTAGCCTTGTATCGGTCTAAAATTTAATTCATATGATCTTAAAATGTCTTAAAAAGTCTTAAATTTAACTTGTTAAAGCCAGCAGAAAAGTTGGGATGCTTTTTTAAATGCAGTTGAAATTTTGTTTAATTGACAAAAGTCTAAAGAAAATATTTGATTTTGTTTACTGTGAGCAAATTATTTGTAATCAGGAAATATAACGCATTTTTGCTTTGATGCCTGCAACACACTCCAAGAAAGTTAAGACAGAGGCAAATTAATAGTGAAAAGGTCATAGAATTTCCAAAGCAGCTCATAACAAGCAGGTGAATTGGTGAAATACAGTAGAAGGGTTTCATGGTTGGTTATATGAGCAAGTAAAGCAGGGTCATGGCTCATTAATATGTGCCAAACGCCAGGTGAGAATTGTCAATCAATTATTAATGCAAAATCCCGACAATGTATGTCTTTTAAATTGATTTGACATTCAGGAAAAAACACAGACGAAATCCTGAGAAATCTCAATCTGTATAGAGCAAGAAACCCTAAGCTGAATGTGCTCCAACTTTAAGCAACATGAGCTTAGAAGAACTTCAGCAAAAAAACACTGCAGTCTACTGCTGCATCAAGAAATGACACATGACTTGTTGTTCATGGTGAAAGATGTACATCAGTTGTGTACAGTAGCAATGCTTCTGGTCCTCCAGGCTAGGGCTGATCTCAGATCACAATGCAGTGGAGATGTGTTCTGGACTCAGAAGAGTCCATGTGTCAGCTTTTTTCTGGAAAACAGACATTGAGATTCTAGTCTCAATGTTCAGAGAGACCATCCAGAATTTCATGAGTGACAGATGCAAAAGCAAACATCTGTCATGGTTCAGGGAACAGCAGTGCAATCGACAATATGAAAGCATATTGGTAGAATACAGAGTGATATACGGCCATCAAGATGACGTCTTTCATGGAAAGGTTATGGTTATTAGATCAAGTCTTATTCTGCATGTGCTACAACAGTATGGTTTTGTAAACAGAGTGAATGTGCTTGACTGGCCTTCCTGCAGTCCAGATCTGTGTCCTGTTGAAAATGTATGGCGTATCAAGGGAAAAACAGATAATGATGATCACGGAGTATTGAGCATTTGGAGATTTGTTATGTGTTTTGTATTATTATTTTTTTAATTATTATTTTTTCGGGGTTTTTGCCTTTATTTGATAGAACAGTAGAGAATATGGGGAGCAGAAAGTAGGGATGGAAGGGTAGGATCGCCAAAAGACTGCAAGACAGGAATCGAACTTGGGTGGCCGTGAGCACCGGCGTGCATGTGTTTATGCACTAACCACTACACCAATGGCGCTGACTGAAATTTTATATTAAGGCAGATTGGGCAAAATATTTTGGTTGTAAAAGTTTCTGTATGTCACAAATCACCAGTGATCTAATCCATAAGCCGAGTAATCGGCACGACCCACGGCGCATGCCTTGCGGGTTGCCATGCATTATAACTTTTGCACGTTGTTTGTGTTGCTCTACAATAGCACTTCCGAAATGCTAGCTAACAGTGAGGTTTTTATGTTCCTCTGAGTCGAGTTTCTTCAAGGGTATTTTGTTTTGTCTGAACGCTACCTTAATGTACAAGTAGCTCAAACATGCTCATTTTGAGGTGGGAACTAGCAGACTTCCAACAATTTTAATCATAATCTAAACACTACAGTACTGTGACATTATGACGCGTTTCCTTTGCTTTGTCTTGCCGTGTTTGATCCTCGCTTTGTTTGTTAATTTATTCCTGTCTGCTGCCTGCCTTTTAATAAAAACAGATTCAATTGTGTTAATACAGGTTATAAAAGAATGAAAATCCTTTGATCCTTTAATAAATTTACAGATATTAAAACCTTGTATTAATAGGAAAGTTGAAGTGACAGTGTTAAACATGCCTCTGTATCAATGTCTTTGGTGTGTGTTGCATGCATCAAAACTAAAATGTGTTATTTTTTTTCCACAATACAATTAATTTGGTCACTTTCTTTTTTAAAATTCTTTTTTTATTGAACATTTTAGATGTTGAACTATATACAAAAGAGCCACCGGTCCACACAACAGAAAAGTAAAAACAGTAATACTGCAATAATAGGTACAAAATCAGGATTGAAACATATCTAATAAAGTCTTTCTCATATTTAACCATGTTTCCTAAAAGTTCCATTTTTTTTGTCTATGGTACATTCCAAAATAAAATTGTGCAGTAGATTTTTTCAAGTTAAATAGAAGTAGATGGATCCAGCCATTTTTTTTTCAGGATTCTCTAGATTTTTTTGTACTTATAATGATTAAATAAAAGTTCAAGTATTGTAAATCAACACATTTCATATTGCTGATTGTATTGAATTTATTTACTTATTTATTTATTTGTTTGCATATTTTTCATAAATTTCAGGTTGTAATTTACAAGTGCTCAACCAAGTGTCCTTTATTTATTTATTTATTTTTTGTTTTATTTTTTTTATTGATTGACTAATTGATTAATGACTTTCCTGCATCTCTTAAGTGTTTTTGTCAAATGGCATTGATGGCTTCAGAAATAATAACCAGTGGCTCCAAATTTTACATCGCTCTCATTCCAACCAAAAGCTACTGTGATAAACGGGAATATTTTCTACAGGTATTTCAGACCTGCTGGGTTAAACTGTCAAGCAACACTAACAGGGCACGTTTCAAATGACCATCCCCCACCTGACATTCAGCAGATTTTTTTCTTCATCAGATGTTTTGTTTGTGTATCAGTGTGTAAGACTGGAGCTGTGTCAGCACAGCCGCAGGAGGCATGTAAAACTGCTCACTAGCCTGAGGACAAAATAAATCACGTGCATGCTCGTATTGTGTAGTGTGTGTTTCAGGCACGCTGACAGATCCACTTCAGAGTGAAGACAATTAGTGTGTGTTCACCGGCATCCTGTCTCTCAACATGATCTCTTATCAGTCAACATGCCACTCTGTTTCCAGCAGAGTATAGCAAACACACACACACACACACACACACACACACACACACACACACACACACACACACACACACACACACACACACACACACACACACACACTCACACACACACACACACACACACACACACACACACACACACACACACACACACACACACACACACACACACACACACACACACACACACACACACACACACACACACACACAAAAACACACCATGAATATAAAAATAGTAATGCCTTTTTTTGCAAGTCTTAAAAAGCCATCATTCACTGTACTGTATGTGTGAAAAAATAAAATAAATTTTTTTTAGTCGGTTAAAAAAAGTACAGATTTCATTCTCGGATTCTCCTTCTTATTCTCTGGATCCAAAAGTATAAAATATCTTAGACATGAAATATTTTGTTGCAGATGCAGGCAAAACAACTTTTTAATGAAAGAAAAAAAAACAAAAAACAAAACAATCATAAAGCTACTGAGGCATAGAAAGTCATGTCAGAAAATGTAGAAGCATATTCACTCTGGTTTGACATATATACAGCACATAAGCAGTTCTCTATAAAACACTGTTGACCTGTTTTGTTTGAGCTGTTTTTGCACGTTTTTCTTACTGGCTGACTTTGTATATATTATAATTTAGGACATTACTTTTTTAACATGTCTGACCCTTTTGTCAGCAGGGGGATCGCTGTTTCAATTGTAATTCTGTTTTTCCATTCAGTTATGGAAAATAGCTCTCAAAATACCATTCATTCATTTTCCCTCAGCTTAGTCCCTTTATTCATCAGAGGTCGCCACAGCGGAATGAACCACCAACTTATCCACCATATGTTTTACCCAGTGGATGCCTTTTCAGCTCCATCCCAGTACTGGGAAACGTCCATACACACTCATTTACCCACACTCATACACTGTGGCCAATTAAGTTTTA